GTTAAAATTCTAAATATATAGCATTTTTATAAATAAAGATAAAATAAATATCGATAGTTTTTGATATTTAAAATGAACTGCAATCTTCCAAATTTTATCATCACATGATATCCAACAAAGTTTTTTAAATTCATGTTAGAGCCTTAGTATTAGAGTTAGGAGTTCTAACAATAAAATCATTCAAGAAAGACTTTTTTAATATGCAGGAGGTGGTTTCCTATACAGATTTTAAGTTATAGGTGATTTTTGACAAAACGAATATTTGTTTGAAATTTTTTTTAGAAAATTTTGTTGGCAGTCCTGTGATCATTGTGAAAGGCCCTGGCTAATTATTATTATTATTTTTTTTTTTGTTATTTCTATTTTTGCTATTTTGGTTTTCCTTTTTGTAGAAGATTTATATATAGTTAGCACTATATGAGAAATTAGTAAAATCCAAACACGATATGTTGAAGGCAAATCTTTACTGTAATTGTTAAGTCATGAAAGACTTATCGCCCTTAGCCCTTAGTATTCTTATTAGCCTTATTATCCTTAGTAGCCTTAGTATCCTCATTAGCTTTAATACTCTTAATAGCTTTATCGAATAGTTCAACTTGTAATGTAGTAATGTAAAAAGTATAAAAGTGACACCTTTCATACCGAAATAAAATCCAACTCTTGGAGTTCAAAGCTTCTGAAATTGGTAATAGAAGTGTTTGTCTCTAACTAGTTTTTCTTGAACTATTAAAGTTGTTTATTGTTAATTCTTGTTACCATGAATAACGTATCTTGTATTTTCATACTAAATAAAAAAGAGAAAAAGATTATATTAGTAATACATACCAAAATCGATCGTGATTTAATTTGTGATCAATGTTATCACTACTTCGACTGCCGTTGAAATCTGTTTGTCACGTGATTTAAATAACTAATTCTTATTGGTCAGTATATTAAAAAAATAAAAATTTGCAATCCGAACTTTACTGACATGGCCGGGATATGAGAACCTATTATATAAGTTTGTGTGGCCTAATAGATGCCAGTTTATAGCTTTTGTTAGTCTTATGGTTTTCTTTTCTAGCATAGTTTACTATTTTTTGTTAAAAATTTTTGTTTTAAAAAAGTGGTCCGAGAGATTGTCAAGAAGAGTTCTCTTGATATATTATTATTTATATATGCTAATATATTTAATAATAATTGTAAAAAAACAAGATAATAAAGATCAAGAATATAAAATTAGCAAAGAATATATATATATATATAATTAAATAAAACTTAGTAACTTATAGCTAATTCTCTAAAGATCACTTGTACCAACTTTTTATAACAAAAATTTTTAACAAAAATAGTAAAACTATGCTAGAAAAGAAAAATATAAGACTAATAAAAACTATAAACCAGTGTCTATTATTTAGAAATAGTTCTTATATACTATCTGCTAATAAGTTTAGAGCTTATTATTTACTATGGGGCAGTACTTGTTATTTAGAAGTAGTTCTTATACACTACTTGCTAACAAGTTTAGAGTTTTTCACTTAATGAAAAGAATATCAGCAATGTACTCAGATCTACTTGTCTTATTATTTTTGGCAAAAAATATACTCTCTTTTAAGAAAAGAACAAGGTCTATACTTTTTACTATCACCCACTTGAGCTTACAATAAAATTTTTGAAAAAAGTAGGTAAAACAGCTTACTTCTATTAAAAAATTAGCATTGTTTACTCCTTCTAAATTCAGTCAACCTAGTAGATTGCAACCATGTGTTTTGTTTGGTAACAAACATTTTGCTACTTTACATGACAAGGTCTGTTGACAAGTTTATAGTTAAAGGTATACCCAGAATTAAACACATAGTCAGAAAGAAACTAATATGTTAAGGCAAAGTCATACAGCAGAGATATACAGATATTACATTTGTTATATTATTTTTTAAGCCTTGTACAAGTTATAATAGTACTATTAGATCTCTTTTCTTTTTTGTTTTTTTTCTTTTTCAAAATCTACTTTTTTTTTTTTGATGTTTTTTTTTTTCTTTTTTTTTATCATGTTCATTAAAGAACTTTTTATTTCTTTCCTTTTTGTCTTGCGCTCCTTGAGAAGAAAGAATTAAAAGGAAAATTAGTCCTAATACTTTAGTTTTTTAAGAACTAGCACATAATCTGAATCATCTGTAAATCAGTGCAATAGTTGCAGCTAGGTGTCAATAGGTAACTGGATGAAGTTAGGCTTTTAGTTGCAGCTATGTTGTTATTCAACCATAATTGTTTTTTGAGATTAATTTGTAAACTGTATATAAGTCTTGGCAAGATCATCAAAGAATAAAAAAAAAAAAAAAAACTTATAGCTAATAGAATTATAGCTGCAATAAATAACCAAAATAATAATAATATATACTTTTTATTTATACATAGTTCTGATAAAACTAAAAAGCTATTTTTGTATTAAACATTATACTATGTATATAATAAATGAACTTGGAATAGAAATACTTACTATAGCTTGAATAGGAATTACTACAAATCTATTACCAAATATAACAAAAGTAATTGAAGCTAGTCTTTGAGATTTAATACAAACTGAACAATCTTTTGAAGGTAAAATAATGATACTAGATGATGAATTCTGACAAGTTCTACCCATAGTACCAAAAGGATCAAGAATTAATAGCTCTAGGCTTATGGTTCCGCACTTTTATTTGATTTGATTTGATCAAATATTTGATTTGATTTGAATTATCTATCTATATATTATATAAAACTTTTAATGCCTGTTTGGAATAAAACGAATCTGATTATTGGTCATTGTGATTTGTGTTACTTAATCATTTGTTAAACATATTAATATATCGTAATATAGTTAAAACATGTGGAAATTTATCATACTAATTTATAAAGATAGACTAGTCTCCGAAACTAATAATTTTCTGTTTCAATTTCATAAAAGTTCAGGTTGAAGTTACGGTCTTAACTAATAAATAAGTATTATTTTTTATTTTTTTCTAACAATGAGTAAAATTAGTTCGTTTTTCAATATTTTACAAAACGTTAAGACATATAGAAATGATTTTTTAATTAATAAGGATCGTAACATTTTTCTGTAGCTTTTAAAAGATTTTGATTAGCCAATTTTAGGTTTTATAATCTTATTCGCCCATTGATCTTCTTTTTAGATTTGCTGATTTTTGTCCACATTTTAAACATCTAAAAAAGAATGGCCTGTGTCGAATATTGTAATTTATACAGATTAGTATGATGTGACAATCATATTCGTACAGTATGAGGTGTAAATACCTTTCTAAAAATTTGTACCATGGTGATCGGTGTATATGTATTACTGTATTAGGATTATAAACTATCTATATATATATATATATATATATATATAGTATGGTACAGTTCGCAACTAATTTAAAAATTGAATCTCAGATACTGATACTAACTATAAAGTGTTGTTATAATGGTTATTTAGTGCTATGTAACTATTTAATGCTAACTATAACAGATAAAGAGTAGTTAGCGTTAGAATAATTATTTAATCTAACTATAAAGAGCTGTTATATTCGCACAGTATGAGGTGTAAATACCTTTCTAATAATGTGTACCATACTGATCCGGTGTGTATATGTATTACTATAAAGTGTTGTTATAATGATTATTTACTGCTATGTAACTATTTAATGCTAACTATAACGTAGTTAGAATGATTATTTAATCCTAACTATAAAGAGCTGTTAGAATGCGTAATTATTTTGCTTTATTTGATTATTTAATTTCACGTTACGCCTGGTGATTGACTAAAACTCACATGGTTACCGTCTTTATTCGACACTAGAGTTTGGAACCGGATTTATTTTTTATATGTTAAAACCGGTTTTAATCGATTTTAACATATGAAAAATAAAACCGGATCTGAACTCTATTCGACACTACCTGCCTAATTTTATTATGCAAAGAGCATTTGAGAAAGATATAGATTGTAACATCTATTCCACAGATTATTTGAGAAATCCGCAAATTGTTCATTACTGCATCACCACAACATAGAGCTTGAATCCGTTATCTGTTGGATAGTAAAAAATCCGTCTGATATACGTTAAATTTAATATCAAACAGATAACGGGTACAATATATTATATATTGTAAAATTAATTAAAATGGATGATTAAATATAACTAATCACTTCACCGATCTAATATTTGCCAATTCGATAAGATTGTGATTTTGGTAATGATCGCTACCGACTCCGAACTTACCGAATCGGCAAGATCCGTTGGGGATTGGCGGAAACATTATTCGTTACAGTAATCCCGTGATCTTGGCATAGTGATTGGAGTGATTGAGATCATAGCAATTAAATACTATCGATCGCTATATATTGTATAGAAATAGGGGGTATTTATAATCACCAGCATAAATATTATTTATTTATTAAAAATTTTGACTAAATTATTATCTCTATTTAAACTATCTGCAACGTTATTTCACGCATAAAATAGTTCCCGTAGTGAAGCCATGGGTAAATACTAATGCTCGGCACAATCAAACAAAAATTTGACAATCAAATACTTGTGATTAAATCGGACATTAAATGATCGCAGGTCAACCAAAGCTGAATATATAGTATTGGTTGATCTGTGATCCGACTTAATCACAAGTATTTGACTGTTAAATTTTTGGCAACCACCAATTCATAGTTTAAGAATTGATTTTGATCCTATATCGATTCTTACTTTGGTTTTATGCATATAATCGGAAAAGAGAAGTATTTTAAAAATGGATTAGGATTCTAGCATCTATTCATGAGTCTAGATCC